CTGCTACTCTGAGATCCAGGCTAAATTGGTTTCAAAAGCAGTTTGGACTCGTTTAAACTTAAGGAATCATTTTTCCTTATCTGCTGCAGTGATTCCACAGACAGAAACTTCCAATTCCTTCTGTTAACTCTTCCAAATTTCGTGACTTTAAGGAGCTGGGAGAGAGACTAAAAATCCCTGAAGAAACGCACTTTCCCTTTCTCCCTAGAGGAAGAGAGAAACCAAGGCCTTCCAAAGAGAGAGCTCCCCCTGTCCCTGAGGTTATTTATAGAAGCTGGATTTAAATATAATTCTGCCCTCTAGTGACTCCAACAGACTGCTACATTAAAGGCCAGCCCCCGCCCTTTACATAAGACACTTTCGGTACATTACAGATTGAATACAAAATTAGCAGGCAGTAGATAAGAAACATAAGCAAGCTCTGGCACGGGCCACCGGGAAGGGGGTGCGGCAGTGTGGTGGCTGGAGTCTGGCAGGAGGACCAGGACTGATTGAAAACATTCTGCCTCTCATCCTTGTCTACAGTACACAATACATGTCAGTGCACCGCCCTACAGGCAAATCGGGAGATTATTCATTTAGCTAAATCATTACCCACCCTGGACCTCAGTCTTATCATCTATGAAATGGAAAGGTTGGCTGGAGTTTCCAAGATTCCAAGCGGACATGTTGTATCAGAAGAGGAAATATGTCGGGGTGGGGGATGGGGGTTGGGGGGGAACCCTTATGGAAAGCCAGAAGCACAAGCCTAAATAAATGAACACTGACACCTACTGGATTTGAGACTACTGCAGGTCAGACAAACAAATTTTTTATTTTAAAAAATAATTTCAAAAATTTAAATTATAAAATATTCCAAACATACAGAAAATCCCTAAGTATAGTGATTATTTAAGTGTCCACCACCAAAAATAACAAATTTTACTGTTTTGCAGATAGGTAGGTAGGTAGGTAAGTAGACAGATAGACAGACAGGCAGATAGATAGTAGAGATTGGTTAAGTGCCATCGAATCAACACCGATTCATGGAGACCTCATGCACAATAGAACTGAAACTTTGCCCAGTCCTTCATAATCTTCATGATAGCCATCGTGTTTGACTCCATCTTTGCAGCTATTGTGCCAATCCATTTCACTGAGCGTCTCCCTTGCCCTCGCTGGCCCCCTACTTCACCAAACATGATGTCCTCCTTGAGTGATTGATCTCTCCTGATCATGTGTCCAAAGCGAGCAAGTTGGACAGTGTTCTATTGTGATCCATAAGGTTTTCACTGGCTAATTTTTAGAAGTAGATCACCAGGCCTTTCTTCCTATTCTTAGTCTAGAAGCGATGCTGAAACCTGTCCTCCATGGGTGACCCTGCTGGTATTTGAAATACCAGTGGCATAGCTTCCAGCATCACAGCAACACTAAAGCCACCACAGTATGACAAACTGTGATATATCATATCTCCATGAGAGCAGGGATTTTCATGTTTTACTCATAGCTGTATCCCCAAAGCCTAGAACAGTGCCTGGCACATAGTAGAAAATCAGTAAGTGTTTTTTGAATGAATGAATGATTGTTTGAATAGTTCTCCTCATATACAGATACATGCTAATCTCTCTAGGGTAGATTCTTAGAAGTGAAATTACTTCCAGTCTACTAAGTATTGCCAAATTTCCCACCAGTTTACACTGCCACCACCTATATATCAGGGTTGGTGTTTCCCCATATCTATACCAACATTTGATATTGACACACTTTCTTCTTTTTGCCAGTCTGATGGGTGTGAGTGGTATTTCCTGTTTTATTTTGCATCTCTTTGTTTGTTAGTGAGGTTGAACGCTTTTTCTTAGGCTTTTCTTATTCATTTTCCTATGATTTGCCTGTTCATATTTTCCCGCCATTTTTCTACTGAGTTGTTATGTATGTAATGACCACATATACGTAAATTAGAGACAAACCCTTTGTTAATGTTTTGCAAATATCTTCTAGTGTGCGGCTAATGTTTTCTCTTTATGATGTGCTTTTTTTTTTACCAGAAACTTTTTAATGTTTTTAAACTTGCCAATCTTTCCTTTATGGTTTGTACTTTATGTGTTATGTTTAAGAAATGCTTTCCTACCCTGAACTGATAAAGATATCCTCTTTTTAATCTAAAATTTTTGTATCAATTTTTTATGAAATTAATTTCAAACTTACCAAACATAGTAAAAATAAAAACAGTACAAAGAACTCTCATATATCTTTTACCCAGATTCATCTCTTGTTAACATTTTACCCCATTTGTTTATCGTTGACTTATTTATGACATATATCTATGTGATATATATAATATATATTTTTTCTGAACCGTTTGAAAATAAGTTACATATATCATGGCTCTTTAACCCTAAATACTGCCATGTGTATTTCCTACAAAGAAGGATAATCTCTAGCATAACTACACTATAATTATCAACTTTGTAAATTTATATTGACAAAATATTTTTATCAAATCTATTTGTATTCCAGTTTTGTCAGTTGACAAATTGGGTGCTGGTGTTGCTATCCTTTATAGCATTTTTCTAACCCTATAAGCGCTATAACCTTACAGCATTTTTTAAGCCTATAGTACAGGATCCAAACCAGGGGCAGGTATTGCATTTAATTGGCATGTCTTTTTAGCTTCCTTTAATCTGGAACAACTCCTCGATGTTTGTTTGTCTTTTATGACAATGACATTTTTGAAGCATATAAGTCCCCTCCTTTTTTAGTAGAACATTCCTCATTTTGTGTTTATCTGATGCTCCCTTGTGATTAGATTGAAGCAATGCACTCTCAGCTGGAATACTGCATAGATGATATGTCCTTCTCAGGGTATCATATCTGGTGATACACAGTGTCTATACATTTCTCATTGGTTAATTTTGATTACGTGGTCAAGGAGTTGTCTTATTCCTCCACTGTATAGTTACAGCTTCCGCCCCCCCTTCCAGCTCATAAGCAATCTGTAGGGAGACACTAAGGCTATGAAATATCCTGCTCCTCGTCAAAATTTCCCTTTTGCTTTAGCATCCACTCATGATTCTTGCCCTATCCAATCTTTGCCATGATGATTGCAAAATGATTTATTTTCAAGTGTTTTGTTTTGTTTTTCACATGTACATCTTGAACCTGGAGTTAACTTTGTAGGTGGTGTGAGATATCTAACATGGCTAACTAGATAACTAGATAGATATATAGCTAGACAGCTGCCATTGAGTTGACTCCAACTCATGGCGACCTTATGTACAACAGAAGGAAACATTGCCCAGTCCTGCTTCATCCTTACGAATGCTAGCTTGTTAGAGTCCATAGTCGTGGCTATTGTGCCAATCCTGCAAATCCATCTCATTAAAGGTCTCCCTCACACTCATTGGCCCCCTACTTCACCAAACATGATGTCCTCCTCCAGCGATTGATCTCTCCTGATGATGGGTCCAAAGCAAGCGAGTCAGACAGTGCTCTATTGTGATCTATAGGGTTTTCACTGGCTAATTTTCGGAAGTAGATCACCAGGCCTTTCTTCCTCATCTGTCTTAGTCGTGAAGCTCTGCTGAAATCAGTCCACCATGGATGACCTTGCTGGTATTTGAAATACTGGTGGCATAGCTTCCAGAATCACAGCAACATGAAAGCTACCACATTTACAACATACTGACAGATGGTAGGTATGGCTGACTACTCACCTCCATTTATCAAACAGCTCATTCTTTTCCCACTGATAAGAAATGTTCGTTTTTTTCATATACCAGATTTCCATTTTTGCTGGTTTTGGTTCAGTGTTCTCTACTTCTCTGTCCCCTTATCTATTTGTTTAGCCCTGTGCCAATACCACTGTGCCTCCATTTCTATAGCTTTATAATAGATTTTTATGTCTGGTAGAGCAAGTCTCCTACCTTATTCTTCTTTAAAATTGTTTTCGCCATTCTTGCCATCAGGGAATTATACTCATTGTCACAGACAATTTTCACAGCTCTCAGAGAGATTAAACAACTTTCCCAAGATCGTAAAGCGAGTAAAAGGAACTTGAACCCAGGTCTGCCGGAGGCCAGAGGTCTATCTTCCAAGGCCAGAGGGATGGTTTTCTAGGCATGGAGAGCTGCAGGTGGAGGAAACCAAGTGTGGGCAGGTGAGGGAAGAAGGCAGATATTAGCAGAATGGTTTGGTTGGTCTCTAGGGAATAGACTTGGCATCTAGGGGATGGGGCTTGGATGGCAGAACCGGAAACAGCGGTCAGGGGAGTGGGTCGGAGAGACCCTCCACTGCAGGACTGATCACCCACAGGCCTCCATGGGCACATCTTGTTGCTATCCACGCAGAGGAGGGTGGTATGGCAGCAGCCTATAAAGGGGACCTGCAGCAGCTTTTGTGCTGGGGGTTGTGGTGGCGGGGTGTTGGGAGGCATGGAGGAGAAAGGGGCTGCCTGCCTGCCTGACACCGGGATTCCACCCAGGGAGGCGCAGTCCAGGCTCCCGTCCTCCGCCAACCCCTCCCTGCCTGATTAGGGGCCCTAATCAGCTTGGGGAGATTAAGGGCTCTGGCCTGCTGTTCCCACACCCCCGCCCCGTGCCCCTGTGCCAGGCTAGCTGAGGAGACCTGTGGGCAGGCGCCAGAAGGGGGCTCAGCCGGTGACCCATCACCCCGGCCCTGGACTTTCCGGTGAGTGGCAAAGGCCCCTCCCCACGGACCCAGGCCTGGTCTGCCAGGACTGATCTGAGGAGGGCATGGACGGGTCCCCACCGACCCCGGATGGCTCTGACCACTGGGAAGGGGAAGTCAAGACGGAAGGGGGAGCAGAAAGCAGGGGAAGCAGGAGCGGGCTTCCAGGCCGTGCCTTTGACACCCATCTAGTGGTCCAAGCCTGCGGAGAGGGGTGTGAAAACAGAGACAACCCACGGGTTAATCGGGAAAACGACAGTGCAGGGAGAGCCCTAGGGGAGCTCCGGGGGTCTCGTCGGCTCCCTCTGCTCCGTCTGTGTTCACAGTTGCCGGCAATGACCGCCTGCACCCTTCTGGCTGGTGGGCTTCGGGACCCGCAGCTCTGCGCCGGCGCGCTGGGGGCTCCGTCCCGACCTAGACTCACCCCCGCGGTGCCCAGGCCCGGGTCTCGGCTCCCGCTGCTGCTGCTGCTGCTGCTGCTGCTGCTGCCTCCCCCCGTCCGCTCCGCCGTGTTCACCGTCGGGGTACTGGGCCCCTGGGCCTGCGACCCCATCTTCGCCCGTGCCCGCCCGGAGCTGGCCGCCCGCC